GCAAAAAATAAATGAAATGGTATAAAATCCAAACAACAGCAGCTAAGAAGAGAATGAAGCAGCAGCATGTAACACGAAATAATAATCTTTGCGGCATCGGCATTCACACACACACACACACACACATACACACTCGCTTGATTGTGGCAGTCACTTCACAAGACAGCTAGCTAGCTCTACGGCTACTAACGTTCCGATCAAACTGTCCAAAGTTAGAATGTCGGGACCGCCCTTGTACTGTACGGCAACCGCCATTTAAACGCCATCGATGCTGTTTGCTGTCCGCTGGTTGTTCCCCATTGCATGTTGCATGCTGCCGTTTTTCCTTTGGTAATTACAGTTCCTACGCCTTGTTGCATCCTCGGTGTGTCAGCCGTGACTGCCGCGTTGCAGCCACAATCGCCCTTCTCACAATCAAATTGCAACATTTACATTGCCTACTTGTTGTTGTGTTGTTGCAAGGCGAGCGAGTTGAAAGAAATAGCAGCCAAGCCAGCAAAGCAAAATAAAACAAAACAAAATAAAATAAAACCCAAATCAAAGCAAAAACTAATGTCAGCACAAAAAACACAGCACCAGCAACAATAAAAGACAGCAACACAGTTTACATGGATTCGCCGGCCCTGCTGCTGCCTACCGCTATCAACCGCCCGGCTTATATGTACTACCCGTCGGAAGAAGGTTGGAACAACGACGCTCCGCACAAACGCAAAGCGAGTCCCCAAATCTGTTTTTATTATTTATCATTTGGTTTGTACTAGCAAATACTTATTTTTTTATTTTTTTGGTCGACAAACAAAACTCGAGCACCTTTGGCGTTATGCGCCCGCTCTTGCTGGGACAGCAATGGCCACTGCTTTTTTTCTCCGGCATCTTCTTCAAATTTTGCTAACTTTTTGCTGTCCGAGTGCTACCTTAAACGCTTTTGTGTGCCAAGCAATCGAATTTTCTTCCGTTCTGAGTTTGGTATGTACGTATTAGGGATGTTAATTTTTTAGATTTTTACGATTCCGGGATTTATTATTTAGTATTTATTATTTTGAGAGAGAGCTTTGAGAAGCTATCCTACCATATAATAAATAATAAGTAAATGGGTTTGGAACGTAATTTTTTATTTAAAGTGAAAATTATTTCATAAGTAACAAAACGAAAGACCGTAATTAAATTTATATGCATTTAATAATACTTTAGCGTGTACATATCTGATAAAGTGATTTAAGGTATGTCGAAACAAGCTCGATGCAAAAAAAAAATTAAGTCACAAAATGTATGTTCTGGTTGAAAGAATATACTAGTGGCAGAAAAAAAACAAAAGCGCCTTAATTCGACCAGTTTTGTTTGTATTCCTTTTTTATTTAAAATTTTAAATTTTTTTAAGAAAGTCTACCTGATATCACACGTAATTAACTGCATATATATATGTGCATTTCTCTGACGTCATGATTTCTTTAAAAAGACTTTATAATTTCAAAGATATGATTAATTCCAAACTTTAATTAAAAAAATTCTGTGCAATGTAAAAAAAAATGCGGCCATCAAATGAAATAATTTTTTTTTTTTTGGTTCATAAGGACGAATAGGAATTGAAAATGCCCCTTTAATCTATTTTAATTTTTTAAGCTAATAAAGTTAGTCCTTAATATAAAATTTGTTCAAAAATTATAATTGCAAAATTTCAAGGATATACAAAGATAAAATTATAAAAGGATATTTTCAACACCTACCTGTCCCTTACGCACCAAAAAGTGTAATGTGTTTTAATTCTACTGAATCTTCTCTTTCATTTGAAATTTTTAAATCACTTTTGAATTACTTATATCTTTTAAATTTCAAAGTTCTTTTAAAAACTCCTGACGTCAGAGAGAAAAATTAAGAACGCAATTTTAAAATATTTCACCCTTGGTTTGGCAACTGTATTGATTTCATTTTTTGTGTGCAAAATTGTCTGCCGTAAGGTATTATATGTAGATACATTGGGGTACACATTAAAAAAAAAAAATTAAATATTAAATAAACAAAAGAAATAAAGCCAATACTGGTCAACATAAAGCGTTTCTATTATTGCCACCAGTGTTAATTACAAATCCCGACAATAGCGGAATTCTAGGCAAATAATCCCAGGATTTCCGGGACTTAAAAAACAAGGGATCCCGGAATCTCGGGACTAACATTCCTAGTACGTATGCATGTATGTATGTACTTGCATTCCTAGTCACACATTTTTTTTTATTCCTCTGCTTTTGAGCGATTTTTGTTGCTACTTGTTACAAGTTGTGATTTTAGTTTTAGTTTAGGTGTTTGATATAATGATTATAATTGTGTGGCACGAATGGTTAGTTGTAATGGTAGTAGAATAAGGAGGATTTTGGTTAGATGAACGATAAATGGAATAAAAAGGAGTATTAACATGTAATGGGAAATTAAAGCAGAATTCATCCGTAGGCCATAGAAATGGACTGGAATTGCTAAAATATAGTAATAGAATAGTTTGATGTCCAGAGTTTGGGAAAATACCTAATTGAACTAGGTTAGCGTTCATAAAAAGGTGTTAATTTTCATTAGACTAAGGCGCTTATAGTTAATAAAAATCAACACCTTTTAATGGTATTTTAGAGAGGTTGTGAGTCATAAAGTGGGGTCGACTGAAGAAGATTTTTACCCGTCAATATATACATACATTTTTATATATTTAACAAAATGTGTAAAAAATATTTCAGAAAAGCTGTCTGTCCGAAAAAAGTGGACCCGAACCGCTCCATTTCTTTTTTTTTAATACTAGATGTAAGATTTTTGCAAGGCAGCTCCTAGTACGATTGCCCCATTACTGCCGTGTTTTAATTGAATCCCTCGGTTCACAGATTCGAAACTTGGATATCCTTTTACACATCTACGTTCCTTGCAGAGTTGCTAGCCTTAATTTGCCCTCTTTTTGGGACAAATAACGTAAATGTTTTCTTTGGAAGAGTATTATTAATATTTCTTTAAATCATAGTTTCTAAAAAAATAATTGGCCTACGGAAATCCATGTAAACTCTTCCAATGGTATTTTTCACGCAGATGTTTATCTTCTCTTAAATCTTCCTTCAAACTGCATGAAACCGTGGATGGGGTTTAGTACTATGGCCATTGCTTCTGTCGCTAATTTACCTTTCCTCTCCGCTTTTGTGTATGCCTCTGTGCGACCCACACCACTTAAAATTAAGTACATACATCCCCAAGCGGGTACAAAAAATATGGCCGGGCTCGACTTTTCAGGTTTTCAACTGCTTACAAACCTCTCTCTGCTTCTTAGATGCTGCGGTACATTTCATAGATCTGAACAGTTTGGTTCCACAAACATTTACATATACAACAAACTTTAATTTGACAACATTCGCACTTTAATAATGGATATTTTCCATTCAAAATCTAAATGTTGTCTGCACCTGGTACTATGTGCAAATATTCCAATTATTTACTCACATATCTCAAAAAGGGTTCAGCATTCCTTTTGACGAAACAGCTAGCTGCGGCCATAAAGTAAATTGTATACCGTTAGTTATCTATCGCTGTGCTAAAAGTCATAATCAACACGTAAGCCGTTAATGGTTTCTACTTTCATGTGATGCACTTAGCAACTACAAAAGTAATAAAAACAAAAATTAAATGCAAAAATTTTTTAACTTTATAACTTCCGCATGAGAACAAAAGCACAATCAAGTGCTTTAGAACAGCGAAGAAAAGTAATACTGCCTGCCGCCGCCGCCGTCGCCGCCGTCGCCAAATTCATAATTAAATACTTATGTGCTTTTCCATTTTTTATGGACCATTAAATATGCGGCTTCATTTTTAGCTACTAAAAATGGTCGATGGTGGCTGTAAATTCAACAAATATTGCCCAATTCTGATGCTCCTGCTGCGGTATAGCATTCACTTGCAAAAATCATAAAGGAATCCACATAGAATTTAGCGCTGCATAAGCCGCATTAATATAGCGGCTTTTTATTTACTAATGGCAAACCACTCATGAAGCTGCGATAATATTTGTTTAACACTCAGAAGAAAAGCAAAATAAACTGCACATGAAAAATCATACCGAAGTATCGGCATGCGGTGGCTGCTTGGGTGGAAAGCTCTTATTATGTTACCGGTTGGAAAATTGCTTTTATTGAACCATTTTTTAATGGCCCATCGCATGATGAACCAGTGAATGTTACCAGATATGTATATTCGCGGAAGTCAGTTCAAAGAACGGCATTTAAGCTGACCCTAAAATATTATAGTAAGGAAAAAAAGACAGTAAAAAAATAGTTTATTAGTCCACTCACACAATGTCAGCTACTCGTTTCATAAGTCGCCTAAATTATTAACGCCTCAGGTTCAGGTAACCAATAACTAACGAGTTAGTGAGTTAGTTGAATAACTGGATAAAGAAGGGCAAGGTACAATGCGACCTAAAAGATCCTTAACAACGCTATAATTTTGTGCCTAACCCTAAAATGCCCTGGTGGGCAAAAACTTAACGAATCTTTGTGTGGCCAAAGCCGGAAATTCACAGGGAATGTGTTTTGAAGTTCCTGCGTCTTCAAGGCAGAGCTAACATTTTAACACTATGGTCTTAGCAATTTGGTGCACATAAAAACAGAAGCAACCAGTTAGAAACCAAGAATAATTTAACAGAAAAAGAATGGCCTAAAATCCTTTTCGCAGGCTCATTCTGGGTCCTTCACCCACGCTTTCGTTTTTTTTTTGTTTCTGGCCACTCGTGAGGTTTGCTCATATATATATAGCTAGGTGCAAAGGTAATTAATGAAGGGAAGAGTACTAATCAGCACCCCAAGCGTATGTATTAAATAATATCTGCCATTCAAAATGTGAAATAATCTGCACAATCTAAGACAACTTTTGCTTGCTTGACCTCTACTTTTTGATTTATTTTCACAATTTTTCTTGTTCTTACTTGTCTGTCTATCTGTTTGTTTGTTTAACTGCTACTGCATCGTTTATTTATGTTTTTACAGTTATTGGACAACAAACCACGCCGCCAGAATTGCCAATTTACGGTGATCCCTACACGGAAATTGCACTGGATCTAGTCTTCCCAAAGGGGAATCCAACATTCCTGCTCGAAGGCAAGAAACTGCAGCTGCTGCAGCCGCTCGATCGCGATGAGGAGAATCTGAGTCACATTGTCTTTCAGGTAAGTATTTAAGTGCAACGACATCTGTGCTCTGTGTGTTCTAAGTTATGAGTTGAGTAAAGTCAAAAGTGGGGAAGCAGCATGTGTGCACAAGTTTGTGTTTGTTGAGAGTGTGTTTGTGTGAACATATGCAATTCGGCGCACCAAAGGCGGTACGCTTGTGGTGAATGAATACCTCACTTACTTATGCACACACACATTAAAGCATAGATTGGGATGTGCAAAAGCGCTCATAAAACGCTATTGAAACACCAACGAACAAAAAATAAATATAAAAAAAAACTAGCAAACAAAAGCGAACAAGCTCACGCTGGCCTGCCGCTGTGAGATTTTTCCTGGTGAAATGCAAATTTTTATGGCAAAATTTTACAGTTGCACGCCAGTTGCAGTAACACACAAAAAAACGCTTAATAAACAAATATGCAAGCATTTTATGGCTGCTTTAGTTTTTGCGATTTGGCGTGGAGCGAAACAATTTTTTAAGTACATCTTATTCCGCCATTATAATACATACAAGCATACAAACATACATAAATAACTACCTGTGACTTCGTGTGCGTGAGGATATGTGTGCAGGTGTGTTTGTATGTGTGTGTTTACTAGCTGCTTTATTTATTTAATATATATTTTATTTTGTTTTTGTTTTTGTTTTTCTTCATTCTCATTTCGCTGCACCACAGGTCTCCTGCACCATTCGTGCAACAAACAAGCGACGCAACATTCCGATTATTGTGCGCGTATCTGATGTCAACGACAATGCGCCGCGCTTCATGAACACACCCTATGAGGTCACCGTGCCGGAGGTAAGAAATGAACAATCCTTAAGAACTACAAACGTAGAAAAAAGAAATTAAAAACTTTCCTAAAAGCAAAAGCAAAAAAAAACGATTTCCTTTAATTTCGCAAGCGAACCTCTTCACTGCAATCTTGATAAGCCGCTTAGCGGGAAGCTCTACGACTTGCGCCGTCTTTCCAACAACACAACAACACAAATGCAAAGTGCCGCTTTGATTATTTGCTGGTGTATATAGTCTATTTGGCAAAGCGCAAATGCGCCGCTTGTGTGCGCTTTATGTACAATATTCACAACAACAACGCAGAGAAGCAATGCTGTGCTCTACCTAGAATTGCAGCAAAATCATTGCGGGCAACAAGAACAATTAAATATGAAACGTTCTACTAAAGCAGCGCGCCTGCGCAAAACTGCTGCGGACGCGCATGCCGTTTGCGGCCCAGCTGGTTTTCTCCTGTGCCTGTGTCAGCCGCGCTTAGTCCATTGGCATTGGTTAACCAACCTGGTGGGTGGTTTCTTGTGGTCGCAACTGGTTTTTCGCGCCCACGCGCAACTTCATTTCATACAAAACGCAAATATTGCTCTTAGTGAAAATGCTGCAAAACGTTTGCTAACTGCTGTGGCTATTGCTACTGTCATACTGCTGTTGTTGATCTCCTAAATGACTCGTAAGTCAATTCAGTTAATATTGACATTTACTGCAGAATAAATGAACATACCACATAAATATGTGCAAGAATGATACAGCACTGTATGGCGGGCGATCTTAAAAGTTGTAATTGGGGACTTGGAAAATAAGCATAAATCAAAAGACTTAAGCAGCAAACTTGCCGCAAGCTTTAGGTATATATGTACATATGTATGTATGTATTCACATAAGTATGTAATCAATTTTCTTAATGGAAGTTTAAATCGACGAGTATTTAGCAGAAATTAAGTGAACATGAATTTACTTTTAATTCCAATTTTCAAGATATCTGACTGAAATTTGGAAAACGGCTATATTTTATAATGTATTAATCATTTGTCGACGGACTACTTGTATAACATATAACCGATCCCATACAACTGATTCTTCAGATATTGGGTTTTTTGTCATAACTCCCATATTAATGAAGCTGGGAGCATAAATATTCATGCAAGGGAGACGTCAAAATAGGATATTTAGAAGAAGAAAAGCACAAAGGCACAGATTTAAAAAAAGAGTAAAGAAACCTAAAGATGAAGATAAAAGGGGAAGGCAAATTTAAATATTTTATATAATGACAATGGTGGGGGTGAATATATAGATGAAGTTAAAGATCTGGGTAAATGTACAAGAAAAGATAAAAATGAAAACATAAATATATACATATACATATAATATAGAGGTAATAATAAAAATTAAAATGAAGACTAAAATAGAGATGGAGAAAGCGATAGAGATAAAGGGATGTGTTATGTTATGCTATGTTGTGTTATGTTATGTTATATTATGATATGTTGTGTTATGATATGTTTTGTTATGCCATGTTATCTTATGGTATGTTATGTTCAACTACGTTATGTTATAATGTATTATGTTGTGCTATGTTATGTTATGCTAAGAGCTAAGTTCAACTTCCCTTTACTCATCTCACCCCAGCTAATGCTATTTCATCTCGACTCACCTTATCTCACCTGAAGTAATATTAACTCAGCTCAACTCACCCGAATAACCCATCTTAATTTATCTAAACTCACTTCACTTCAACTTAACACAACTCAGCTCAACTCATCTTGATTTTACTGGTTGAATTTCAACAGCTGGGTGGACACTAGTTATTTTTGAAGACAAATCTTCTTCTTGCTTCTGAAAAAATTGTTTTACATCTTCTCGAATTTACAATTTTTTGAAAATTTTCAAGTTAAATACCTTTTTTTCTAACGAAGGGACAATCATTATTTTCTTACGTTTAATGCGGCCGCTGTGGTGTAGTGGTAAGCAGTGCACGCTGCCACTCCGCATGGCCTGGGCTCAAACCCTGGTCAAAGCAACATCAAAAAAATATAGAAAAAAGGTTTCGTTCTTAACAGCGGTCGCCCTTCGGCAGGCAATGACAAACCTGCGAGCGAATTTTTGCTATGAAAAACAGCTTCTCTCCTTTATGTAGCAACAGTAAGGCGCACACTACAAATCGAGGGATAAGCTCGGCCCAATACAAACACAGGCGAAGGAATTTTTTGTCCAGCACAAAAGATCTGCACCGTCCGTCCGATTATTAAACATGCGATGTCTAATTAAAGCGCTTGGTCTGTAGATGTGAAAACTGATTTTAAGTTTGTCGAAAGGAGCTGACATCTGTTGATAATTTTAACTAAAATTATTTAACGATCATCCGAAGTGAGGTGTCAAATTAAAAGGCTTGGATTTTAGATGTGCACTGAGGTTTCGATTTTTTGAAAAGAGATGCCACCTTTTAAAAAATTATATTCAAATTATTTAAACAAATAATTCAATTATAACAAAATGGGTATCAATCAAAATGGTTTTGGAAGGCTTTGCTTGTTAGCTGAACTATAAGAAGGTTGCCACCTGTTTAAAAAAATCATATTAGGTAAGAGAAATTTGTATCCCCACATGGTTGCCAAACAAAAAATTAAATTGAAAGAATCAATTCAATTTTCATTTCTGAATTGTATTTAGCGGGGTTGCCACATGTTTGAAAAATGAAATTCCATTTAATTTATCAGTTAATTCAAATATGTATCGCAATGTACGACGAAGGAGAGTTAACAAGGATTAAGCTTCAAAATTCTTTTGAAGAGGGCTGCCACCTGTTTGAAAGGTCTAACTCAGTTAACTAATAATACAATAAGTTTATGAAATATGGAAATACCTTAGTCAAACGAAAGAATGTTAAAAAATATTTAGTTTGAATATTTGGAATGTGTTTTATGAGTTTAAAAAGTTGCATTCAAACTAATTAATAAGATGGATGAGTTAAAAAAGATGGATATCAATCAAAATGGGTTTGAACAGGCTTTATTCCTGACTTTTACTTAGGAGGGTTGCCATTAGTTGGAACAATTAAATGTTTGAAACGGTTTTATTTATTTTTTTTTTAACTAAAAATTTTTTCATCGGTATAGGGTGATTTGAGATTTCATGAAATTAAATACATGCACTATGCGAGACTGCATTTCACTCAGAAACAACTACACGGTTTTAGATGAAATATGACACTCGGATCTCTTATAACTCTGACTTTTGGATTATTTTGTTAAGTTTTTGAAATTCAATTTTGGGGAGTTTTAATGCCATGCGGGTTCACTAGTGTGGATTATTATTGTAATATGATAAAAAATATTTAATTTTATTATTTCAGTATGAAAAAGGTCCTTATTAGTTGGTTTTCGCGTTGTCTACATCGGCTTTGGGATGACCGAATAGATGGTTTATGCCGGTTCGGTACCCGCTGATCTTTTCCATTATTTGACATATAAATAGTAAAAAGCTTCTTATGGAGGACTTACCGGATCTAAAGGCACACTGATAGAACCCAATCGTCTCGTTGACGGTGAGCTTTAGAGCCTTTCGCATAATATGCCAGATCGACTTACTTACTATGGTGGGGTCTCCTTTCTTGTGAGTAGTGGGTAGAGCACACTTAAATTCCCGTGTTCAGGCATGCGCATATCCCACCCACTGTATTCCTCAAAGGGCTAATGCATGCACGCTATCAAATTAGCAACTCCGTACTTGAAGGTTTTGTTTATTTACAGCCCCGAATTCGCTTTTCATAGCTCCATAGTTAGGTTTTTCTAATAGCAGCGTACAGCTTTTATTTTAAGATCCCACTACTTATGTGTGAAGAAACACTCTTAATAATTTAGTTCGCTAAAATTGCATTATTGCATTACATCATAATATTGAATAAAAACCATGAATAAGTGTCTACTAAACTAAACGTCAAATGTACTTATGTAAGGACATACATATGAACATATATGCATATGAAAATATGTATGTAGATATATGCATGCATCGTCGGTATATTTATTAGGTATCAGCTGCCCGATTGACAGACATGCAACCAATGCAACATCAAAACGATCACCTTCGCTGTCAGAAATTTTCACATGCCAAGATGTTAGCCCGTGCAGTTTTTTTGTTTCACCTTTTTCGATCTGCTTTTTATTGCTGTTATTAACTGGATATCTCTCCAGAGCATTGCCCTGGGAAGTAATTTTGCATGAAGAACAACATGAATGCAGATATAGAAGAGATTATAAAAACGCTGTTAAATAACCCATAAAAGTAAAATAAAATGGTCTGAGTTATGTATGTTTGTATGTATGTAAGTAAGTTATGGAGCATTGACATCTTGTAGGTTGCATGTTGTAGCCGGTTTCATGCAGGCGTTGCTCCTTTGACTAAACTCATTTACTACAAGTCTTAGACGAATGCATTTTCCATACTTAATAATAACAATTACACCCAAAAAAATATATGTATGGATTACAGCGTATAGATGTGGATATTTAAATAACAGTTGTTCCCACATTTTCTAAGCTCTACAAAGTAATGTTCTTCAGTTTCCATGAATAGAATAAATTTTAGTTCTTCATGTGCACTGAGCACACAGCGTAAATTAAGGGCCGATTTCTCAAGTATTTGTTTTAAATTTATCTGCCTTTTAATGCTAAATGTCCTTAATGAAAAAACCCGTTCCATAATAATAGTGCACGAGGTTTTCAATAACTTCCTGAGAATGAACTCTAAGCAGGTTTAGCTATTAGAAGCATAGACAAAATTTTTAAGAAACCTCTAGACCCTTTATTTAAATATTACCATCTCCTGGCCGGTAGTAGCCACCAGATCATTCGTATGAAAGTTCACATCACTTTTTTATTCAACACAAATTTTTTTAATTTGGGCGTGTCGATACATGTTTTTGTAAGTTCTTCCATATGTACTTATGTGACTTATGTTGGCCGGCGCAGCTGCTCTCACTTTTACGTTTGCTAAATGCTGCTTCCTGGATCAAA